TGTTAGAAGCGGTCTCAGCAGGTGGGGAACTGGTGTTCAGCGGCGCTCTCACACAACAAATCATGGGTCAGAGCGATCGGAAGATGGACCATGCAGCGGTTTTTGACGGTTTTCCTTGGCCTGCTGCAAGGTATTTTTCATGTGTCTTTTCAAGTAGAAGTGTTTTGGTGTGCCTCTTTTTTGCAAGTTGAACCCGGAATGGCAAGCAGCTGCGTCTTGTCTTGGGGAAAGATGAGGGCTCCATGAGGGCTTGATGGAGGGGATGTGGTGCTGGTAGTGCTTGTTACCATGTTGTCTAGTTCAGGGGATTGGATCCATCCATCCTCACTGGGTGAAAGTCGTGGATCGCCGCGTCTCGATGCTTCGAACACCAGTTCGCTCGTTCTTCTGGATAAAAAACCACCCACTGGGACGATTCTCCGCCCTCTGCAGGCGAAGGGGAGCTGGAGCCCTGTAGCATTTGCTATGAGGAGCTGGCACAGGATACGGCGGTGGTGAAACTGCCCTGCGACCACCGCTTTCATGAAGACACCCGGTGCACGGTGGATGAGGTGGATGCTTTCTCGGGGCCGACCTAAAGCTTGGTGGAGCTCTGCTGTCTCATGACCCATGAAAGGCAAGATGTGAAGAAAGAAGCAAGCAAATAGATAACAGATACCTCCAAACTTCCGAACGATTTGTTTTTGCTATAGTTGCTGCGTTTGTGAACCAGGTAACCATGATCCTTCTGCACACATTCTACGGCCAAACATGATATCGGAACGGTCGGCTCGCTGAGCTCGCTTGGGCTCCCGTGCCGGCACCGGCCGTGCCGAAATCGCTCGCGTGTCGCTCGCGTGCCAAGGAGTGTGTGAAGAAGTGGTTGGCATCTTGGAGTGCCAAGGTTTAGGACTTTACAACATCTGTTTTTGGGTAGCACGATGGGTAGCTGCCTGTCAACAGTTCAGAAGCCGTTGCGTTGGCTTCAGGTTTGTTGCTGTTGCCAGGGTTTGGATGAAGATTGAGATCAGGCTTGCTGAATCTCAGAAAATCTTCAGTTGAAATGAGAACACTTCTGAATCCACTGTTTGAGTTTGGACGTTCCAACCCACATTCCGGGCCAGATCCCCAGCACTCTCACTCGGTGCCATTGATTCAACGGCGGGGCCACTCAAGTCCCTTCTGGCCGCCTTGCTCTGTGTGGTTCTGTCGGCAGGGGAATCCGGCTAAAGATTCATCATGTCGAATCCCCCCAGGCTTGGATGAATCCACAAGCCCATCCACATGCTAGATTCTAGATCAGGCTTGTAGGTCATCTTATATACCCGAATCTACCCACAAGCCCATCTCCCCTCAAAACTTCTGAAAAAGAGCACCGATTTTGCCCAAAAAGGTTGCCAAATTTTCCACCGCACATGAGGAGGTGAGGAACAACTGGACAGAGAAGGGTCACTGTGTTCCCTTCTTTATCCCAAGAAAACTCTGGGCCATGCGCATCATGTGCATCTCGTAATTCTCTCTGAAACTGGAGTTTTGGATGTCCCAACTTGGAAAACAACACTTGGCAGCGTCTTCTAAGCGTGACCTGCAACCAAAACAAAAGGAAAGAACACGCTGATGGACCTGGGAGACCTGGTCTCGACCCTGATGAACCTGGGAGACCCGACTGAAAGGATCCCTCGGTCAACCGCGCTGGCTGAGGTCTCAGGACGCCTTTGCTGCCCGCTCTGCAACACACAGCTGGCCAGTGAGACCCTGTGAGGCAGATGAGAGGTTTTCAGAGTTTCGAGAGGAGTTTTCAGAGTGGAAGAAGCGCAACAACTTTTGAGAGAATATTTTGTCTCATTCAAAAACCCTACTTGTAGCAGCTGGTAGAACCGAGACATGTTTTTACTGCTTTGATTTTTCCACAGGTTATATTCGTTACACGATACGTTTGAGCACACCATTTGATCATATTTGATCCTCTTTTTTCCGTGCTATTTGTGTTCCGGAACCTCAAGCTTGGAGGTTCTGTGACCCAGACGGTCAGAGGAATATCCAATGGGCATCCAGAGGGTTCCAACAAGCAGTTACAAAGCAAAATTTCGCTCCGGCCCTCAAGAGTCAAGAACCGTAAGCCACCCCCTTGGGGTGTCGATGGGACCCCAAAACCAGTGGTTCATCGGGACGGCACCCGCTATTTTTTGGTTAGGCAGAGGCAGTTTCAAACGGACGTCGCATTCTTGGTTCGGAGCACCTGCCATCTGCCGCATCTGCCGCCTTTCGCTGTGCAATTAGCTTCGTGAACGTGCGGACGAACCTGCCTCGAGCGTCTGCTCATTAGAGGTAGAACTCTTCCAATGAAATCTGGGCCCCCAGTTTTGGCAATGGACAGTCATGAAGGGCAGGGAGACAAAGGCAGGGAGACAACTGAAGGCTTCTGGCGGTCAAGGTCTGATTTTGAGGTTTTGTGCTTCTTAGGGGTTGGGGGCCCACCTCGAGTTGGGAAGGCTTTTAAGCAAGTCCTCTTTTGGAGGCTCGAAAAGAGTGCAAGCTGTGAGAGGATGCTGCTTTCATGTTGTTGGGCAGCTCTTTAAGGAAATGCTGAAAGACTGTCTCTTGGTTGAATCAGGAATCTGCTAGAATATCTGGAGACTAGATATGTGTTATGAAAGTGACCGACAGGATGATTTCCTCCGGATCCTGTTTTTGGATGCACTTGTTTGGGCCTTATTAGAAGCCATGCAAGTGATCCATTTCTGTAGGCCCTTGTTCATGGCAGTTCTTATTGCCAATGCGCTTCAAAAGGATCACAACAACCGGAGACTTGATGAACTTGTAGTGTAAGAAACAGAGATCAAGAGGAGGAAACTTTGGTGAATCAACCAAACAGCCAACCTTTGCAGCTTGCACCAATCTTTCTTGTCTGAATGCCGAAGGCATTGATGCCCGCTAGCGGGCCCGCTAGCGAAAACAGGGTGTTGCAACGGCTGTGACGGTGGGGACAGACCCAGTGGGCAAATGCACCTTTTTTTGGGGCCATGTCTGGCTGTCCCTCATCGTCCGTTCCAGATTGAGGAACATATTCAAGATGGTTCTTCCAATCCAAGCTCAACATGCGCAACGAGCGCCTCTTGTGGAAAGTCATTTCTCTCAACTGATTGAAGACGGCCCTGGCAACACCTCCTAATATACCTCAACGGAACTTCAAAGGTTCCAATAGATTTCAAGACCAGGAAGCACCTATGAAAGCACATGAATTGTCGATGGACAATCTGCACCATCTTGGAACACGAGGCACGGCACCTCTCCCCTTTTTTTAAATATTTCTTTCATTTTGAACCAGAACAAACCAAACTTCTGCCTGACTTAATGGGGTTTGGCCTCTCGAGAAGAATCATATTGTCCATCAACAGTAGTTTATCATAGGAATTTTCACACTTTTCGAACTCATCCGAACTGTTGCGCTTGATCCGAAAACAAGCCGGATGTGCCGGGTTCGGCCGGGTTTGAAGGTGGAAGAGGGGGCCATTGGCATTGGGGTTTTGGGTCTTTCAGTTGAAGCAGTACACGCATTGCAATCTAGTCCACCAGCAGGAAGAGCAACTAGATTGCAATGCAGTGTTGTTGCATTCACAACATCAGAGATCACCTGGCGAGAGATCAGCAGCTGATCAGAAAAGGACTCACCCGGCGCATTGTTGCCGGAGCGTCAGAGATCACCAGATCTACTTGTTCATGGGCTTCGTTCACGGTGCTCTGTAGTTTCGGCGAACGCTGGCGATCTGATTGGTCTCAGCCACACCCACAACAGAGTTCAGCCATCACTCAAAACTCCTGGCGAACGCCTCGGCGAACGCGACAGGGTGCCTCAAGACAAGTTCCAAGGACAGACCTGCACAGGATTTCGGCGTCCTGCCTGACTTTGCATCATCGTCCTTTTCCGAGTTCCAACTGTTGCTAGTCACCTAGTCACCAAGGTCGCCGAAACCAAGAAAATGTGAGCTTCTGGCTCAGCGGCATGGACTGCTGCGACCATCGAGGCGGGAAGCTTCGGATCAAAAGGCACCATGTCAGTTGGCAACCGCCGACTGGGCAGTGCGTGTTTTGTTTCTAAAGTAGAGAAGGCCATTTGAGATTCCAATGAACCTGGAGGCTTTCACCCCAAGTTTCTTTTTTTCCCAAGCAAAACAGCTTTTCATGGGGTTTCTCCATGCCGATGAGGTACAAAGAGCATTCGGTTTCTTCATGAGTTTGGTCGCCGGGGCGACCAATGAGTGGACAGCGTCGGTAGAGCTGTCGAGTCCGGGCTGTGGGGATTTGGAAGTTCTTTGCAGATATTTGGACCAATCCTGCCGAAGAATTTCAAAAAAATGGGGTTTGACATGGTTTTACATTGTTTGACAGTTTTACTGGTATATGAAATGGCAGTGCTTAAGAAGGTGCTTTGCCGAAGACACCTTCCTAGCACCCAGTACTTTTGTCCTATAGGGTTCCAACGTCCTTTTCATATGGGACCCCTTGATATGGACGGGCTCCAAGCGTACCCCCCTCTCCCAGGCGGCTTCTACTGCCACAGTGCGCAGGAGCTGCCGGCAGAGAGCGGAGCGGTGGGAACCACACCAGTCTTTGAGACGATTCGAAGGTTTTCGCTTCAAGGCTAGATGTTCGGAGCATCCAGGGGCGTCGTGCTGGTTTCCCAGATTTGTCACAGGTCCTCAAAATAACATGATAGATGAATGAGGAGATGTCTCCAAACTCTCAAAAAAGCAACGGGGTTCACCTCAGTTTGCGTCCACCCAGTGGTGAATGGCATGTTCCCATTTTATAAGACACTCGCCCAGCTAACCCGCTCCCAGTTGCCGTTCGGCCACCGCTCGCTCCAGTTAGGAGCCCAACGCTCGCTCGGGCATCGTGCTGGCCGACCGCTGCTTGGTTTCAGGGAGATGGCAGGGATGGTTGAAGTGTTGATCGCTGTTGTGTTCCATCCACACGGCCATCGTGTTTCATGGCACGTCCGGTAGAAACCCCGACGTCGTTTGGGTGTCGCTTCCGGTGTGCCAGACGTGTGACCCACTTGGGAGCGTGCTTTTCGTTAACGGAGCGACGTGCAGGGACGTTGACACCGAGGTGGAGGGCTCGATGAAACAAGCCCTGGAACGGTTCCATGTGCAAGTGATGATGGTGCCAGTGTTCCATGTTTCTTTTTGCACATCAGTGGTGTTTTCAGGGTTTTCAGGATGAGCCAGGTGAAGGCTTTGGAAGGATCAAGGATGGGTTCTTCGATGTGGTAGATCTGCAAGGAGGGACTTAACGACTGTCACCATCAGCTATGTGAAACAACTCCCCTGATGAGTGCTGCCTCCGGTTTTCAAGGCGATGGTCCTGATTTCACCTGTGTGAGCTGCTAGCTGTATTCTCTTCCGCCGCTGTTCGGACAGGCGATGGCACCTTTGTGAAAGCTGCTCGCACCTGGGCTGTAGGGATGGACTGGCCTCAAGAGGATGTGGTCATAGAAAGGTCGGAGGTGCGTGGATGACATCCATTGAGTCCTCTGAAGAGTCCGAGTTCGGTGACTGATGTGATGGAAGTGCCCAAAGACGATATTTGACGATGTTTGAGATACCAGGAAGCTACATTGGTGATCCTTGAGGTTTTGTTCCCCTTGAAGGGTTGGCGATTGAACTCTACATCCTTCTTCAGGGACCCTTTTTCTATCTTTTTCGAGATATATAAGGAGTGGAGCTTCGTCAGGGGGAAGGTGGCCAAGGTAGACACGGAAATGACCATGAATCTCAGTTTGCTTGCACAGAAAGCATGGTTGCTACAGTTGCCACATGGAGGGAGTCCATCCAAATGGGTGGATGTGGTTGCTACAAGGCATGGCGCAGTCGGTGCACCAGCTGCCGGTCTTGAAGAAGTACGAGATCCTGGTGCTTGGCTGGTTGGGAATCCTGGTGCGTCGTTCTGCGCGTTCTGCGGCGGCCGAACTGTCACGAGTGTGACAGCGCCCACTCATCCACTCATCCGGTCACTTGGATCGTGGGATCGACCAGTAAACCCACCAGGCACTTGAAGAGGTGGTCGAGTGAGACCTCCCAATCGAACCCTTCAGGGGAGTCACAGACCGGCTTTCAAATGGCAAGTCTTGTGACTAGCTTCCAGCAAGTTAGCGAGCGAAGCAGCGGTGGTATAAGGCCCTCCTGTGCCAAGGATTTGGTCCTGAACCACTCTCCACCAATCACCTTCCGTCCGTCATGCGGCTATGCCGCGTGCAGGGTCCCGCAGCCGGAGCTCTATTTGCAACACCTGTGGGCGAGGCGGGGTCCTGGACCAACGGATGTTTTTGTTGGGGTCAACGTGACGCAACATGAAGTGGGTCAAAGTTGGAACTGCACATGGATTCCGCCTGAAACAATTCTGTATCCTAATACTTTGTTTTTTTTTTTTTTCGTTTTTTGAAACGAGCCTGTGACTGCTCAAGCACTCTTGTATACCACATTTGAGAGTATCTGAGATTCGTGCTTGGGTGCTGATCCAATCCTGTCGCATTGGCTGATGCTTCAAGTGGCTGATCCGTGTCTCGCACATCGAACACCGCAGTTTCGCCGAAGTGTTTGGGTCCATCCAGGTCCAAAGAGGGGATGTCTTTGAGACTTTGTCTGCTTTCTATCAGATATGTTTTGAGGTGGGCAAAGAGGCACCCTTGACTGGGGCGGCCACACACTCCTTTAAACGGCACGCTTCTTTTGTCAGGGTTCCAATGATAATTTTGCTAGATACTGAATGACCAGCCCAACCGAGGGAGGGAACCTCCAACAGGACAGACTCCATTTTCGGCAAGCAGGTGTCTGGGTGGTCTGAGTTTGGGAGCTGCTTTGTATGGTGTCTGAGCGGCCAAAGAAGTTCGGCGGCCCGGCCCAGTGCGGTGACCTACATCAGCATTGCCAGCGGTAGCTGGCTGCTGTTGAGCTGTTGTGCGGAGCACCCAGTAGTGGGAGGGGGCTGACAGGGCAGAAGGAGATGGTGGATTTGCATGGATTTGCTGTAGAAGTCTTTGTAAATGGATCGGTTCCAAGTGATTTCACCAAGCCACTTGTCACTTGACTGTAGCGCTTGCAAAGCGGAAAACTGAAGAGCCCGTGTCTTCAATCGATTCCAAGGTTGTTTGAGAAGGCTTGGGCCACCAGTAGGTAGGGCTAGTCGGCTAGTTATCTAGTTTATGATAAACACTCCACGGAGTGGGCAGTTTACATGGTGCTGAGACTGCGCAACAAGAAGACTTGCAGTCACCCAAACCGCGAATCGCTGCTCTTGCGCAGCTCAACGGTTTTGCAACAAGTGGTGAATCTGCTCGCTGACTTCTAGAGGTTGAGTCCCCTCACAGTTGGAGCTTGCGACCGGAAGAAATTCATAGAAGTTCCACCTGTTCCAAACCATGAATGGCTCATTGGCTTGGTAGCAACCTTTTGAGGCCTTCTTTCCACCGTATATAAGTCTGCCAGATCCTGGAAAACCTGCAGAGAATCGCCCAGGAGTGAAGCATAATGACAGAGGGTCGTATTCCAAACTGATGCTAAACCAAAGTGCTTCTCTGCTTGCCAATCGTGCTACATCTGAATGATGCATTGCTGCATTACCGACATTCCGGACTGGTGCGATTCGGGAATGATTCCTTTCAATTCAGCCACCGGTTTGTTTGGAGTGGCGCACCCAGACAAGTCCACCAACCTCCGGTGCATCCTCAGGTCTCGCACCTTGCGCCTCACGCTCCAGGAGGTGCGGGGCTGTTGTCAAAGCTGCCCAGCTGTTTCGATTGGAAGACCTCATCAGATGAGTTGCGTCCTGCCCTCCGTCTTGTTCGAGGATTGATCATGAATCAGGATTTTTCACCAGGCCTTGAGAGGTCCTGCCGGAAGTTTAGGCAACTCTTGGAGACTCGTTGCCAATGGGACGAGTTGCCAGTGGCCAGGGGAAAAGCCATCGACGGCATTAGCAAAACACCTTTGATATGCCATCCGTTTGTGATCTCTACTTGGAAAATACCATCAAACACTTGAGGCTCACTTGAAGCTAGAACCTGGAACAATCAGATGGCATTCAGATGCATTCAGTCAGATCTTTGAAAGACAGATGTCCCGCAAAAGGCCTCAACCATCAGCCTAATTGTAAACACGTGCCCTGCAAACAGGTTGATGACATGTGCCCACATCTCTTGCCATGATCGCCGGCTTTGATCATGATCCTTCCACTTTCCTTCCTTTTTGCCTTTCGATGCTTTTTGATAAATTAGGGAAGAGTAAGGCATATTTTAAAGACATTTGGCAAGATAAGGATTTGCAGGACATTTGGAAAGGTAAGGTAAGGATTTGGAAGGCAATCTGGATGATGAGCTCCAACTCGTAGTGCAATTTCCTGTTGGTGAGATGCCATCAACGAGTGCAGCTCGTCTGGTCCGGGTTGCCTCATCGCCCAAAGCATATAGGTCCCCGGTAGCAGGTGGAAGCCCCACGTGCACCCGATGTTACACGTGTGGGGTACCACCTATCTCAACGTCTGCAGTTGATAGTGCATGGCATGCATGAGGGATGAACATGACATTTACAGCTTGTCTTCTAGACTGCTCTGGCACCAAGAAACCCTTCTCCCATCCCCCAGAGTCTCTTTCTTTCGACTCACGCTACCTGGCCCCACCAGGTATGGTCGACCGTTCTGAGCACGGATTCCTTGAGCCTTGCCTTGCGGGAGAAAAGATGAGCTGCGACTCGGTCGACTCGATGGTCGCCTTTTTCAGCAACGCGCGGGGTGGCGATTAGGCGGTTTTTCGTCCTTCTTTTGGACGACCTCACGGTGCAGGGTGGTCAATTGATGGGGTCTGTACTGGCAGAACTTCTGGGAAACATGTTTGGCTCTGCTTGTTGGTGGAGTGGGGATCTTTGGTAGGTTCTTCTTCACTCGTCGCAGACCACGGTGGCTCTCCTCACCGACCACGGACGCGCTCCCGTCGCGAGCGAGCGACGCACCATGGACCGAGAGGAGACCGGAGATGCGCCAGGTGCTACGGTCTCGCGCGGCGTACGGCGTACGGCAAGGTGGGTCGTTTACAAGGGTATACGATCCAGGAGCTTTACAGGGTCTATGACCCAGGCTATCTTGCAGATGAAGCAGAGCAAGGACTCTATTTTGGATGTTTTTCCTCCTTTATGGTGGGGTATCATGGGGTATCCAAGAACATCAGGAGGCAGAATATATAATCCGAACCCGTCCGAACCCGTCCGCGTCTTCCTGCAGGGCTCCATTCCGAACACCACCTGCTCGGACTGTGCTCTCTCGAGGGTCCACCTCACGCCACTTGGTGCCGAAGAGGTGGACCACAGAGAGATGGAGCCGAGAAGGCGAGAAGCACCAGAAAAGTCGATAGAAAAGTCTGTTGATAGAAAAGTCTGTGGTCCGTCCTGGAGCAAGATGGCCAGAAGCTGTAGACTCTAGACATCTCTAGACTCTCTGATTCTCTCCCTGGTGGCTTCTCGCACCTTCCGGACCTCCTCCCTACCTAGCCATTCCAACCAAAAACCCGCATTCCAATCGCATTCCATCGATTCCATCCGCGCAGACATTCCGTCTCTGAGGCCTCGGGCCCCTCCGGCCGTCGCAAAGTCCGGAAGATCCACCGCAAGAGAGTGAAGGCTGAGGGAAATGAGCCAACACCGGAGCCTGAAGCTGGGAGAGGAGATTGCCGTGAGGCCGGGCCTTATTTAACCACATGATGGCCATGTGGTTGATGCCATGAATCTCATCCTGCTTTTTTCAGGTAAAGGTCTATGGGATTTATGGATGTTTGTAACTTCCAGACAAGAACAGCAGCGCAAATCCCAAGATTCAAAAGGCCCAAGAAACAATGTCTTCCTCTATGATGGTGAACCACCTTTTCTTATCACGTTCTTTGGCTTTCCCTGAAGCTGAGCAATATGCAATAATATGGGTGTGTCTTGAACTAGGAGGACCGCCCAGCCAGACCACGGGAAGAGGAACAGCTCCTGAGACCAGTGGTTGTGGTGTCTCGCGCCTCATTGGGCTTAGATATCAGTGTGCTTAGACCGAATGGTCACGGTGACCCAGAATTGGACGGAGCCTTTCTCTTGATTTGGTGGTTTCGTTCGCCGTGCACAGATGTGGATCCTCAGCATCAGGCGATGTCGTTCAACACACTTTGCAAGGAGGCGCACCGGAGAACACGATCACAAGTGCGCTGTTTGCGGGCGGGAGGGAGGCCATCCACCGAATTATTTGGTACCTGTAAACTTGATTCTATGAAGCCGGGTACTTAGTGGAACGATTCCCGTTGAAAGAGGTTGGCAGCCACAGCAGTGACAGATGTTGATCCAGAAGTCATCATTTTGACGGACATGGAGATGAACAACCGATGCCCAGGAGCCCAGGAGCTTGGTTGTATTATGTTGTATTGCCTGACTGTGAAGGTGCCTGCCAGAGATTTTGGACGTTTCTGACACATTCAAAACCGGATCTGCATGACCCGGCGCAGATGGCGAAGTGCTTGGCAGAATTACAAGACGCGCACCGACAAGAACTTCGAGAAGTAACACAGGTGCGCACCGTTGGGAGCCCGGAGACCGTCTCCAGCGTGCTGGCCTCGCTCTTTGGGCCCCACTAGTTGGTCAAGAGAAGCAGCTTGCTAGTCCATTGTCCTGCTAGGTGACAGGTAGTTCTGGAGACTCTGGCACTACCGACTCTCTCTCTCTCTCTATTATATATATTGTGTATTTATTGTGTTTTTCTCGTCATGTATCGTTGATGGTCTGCGAGATGGGTTCAGTTGTGTCAGGACTCTTCTAGGTATTATATAGTCGATGTTTTGAAAGCAAGAGAAACACCAGCGGAAGAAAAGACTCTAGCCATGATTTCCAACGCAAGAAAACAACTCACAAGAGAAAAAGATAGAACACGTGTAACAACTAACAAGAAGGAGAAACAGACTACATGTCCACCACTTGATTGCCAGCTCTCTACAGGCAGAACTTCGACCACCGTGCACTTCAACCATGGTGGGTGAATTCGAGGCGCTGAAGATCGCTGAAGCTTCATTCTGAGACCGGCGCATGTGTGCCGGTCCGATTCCTGCACAATACACGCGCCCCTCCAGGTCTTTAGTTGAGGGTTGTTGGGCCCAATGTCTTGGTCTAGAAGTGATGACCTGTCGGAGGGTCCTGGTCTATTGCCCCTGAGTTGATTGGGTTGGGTCTCCCAAAGATGATTCAGATCGTTTGCGCAACGAGCCAAACGCCGGAGTCGAACGCCTTGAAACTTTCGAAACAGGCTCGTCCTGTCAGACAGAAAACGAGCCATCAAGGGGTATTTACAATGCATTGGTCAGTATACCTAGAGCCCAGTGGACCCCTGTTTTGATATGGTTCATGAGGTGGTTGGTGGTCCAATGGCTTGAGGTCACTCAGGCTCTAGGTAGTTCCTATTTGGATCTGTTTGGTGTATCATGGTGTGAGGTGGTAGCGCCTCCGCCGGTGCCTCCACAGGCCCAGTCCCAGTCCCACGTGGCGATCGAGGTGCCGTCGGGACATTGGAAGGAACAGCCAACACAGCTGCTACGACCAGAATCAGACGAAACCCCTTGGTTTGGTAACAAATCTGTCAATGTTGCGATCCCCGGCAGCACAGATTTTTCAGAAACATCGGACATATTCGGCCGTAGGCTTGGCGTTTTGTTGCTCGCTAATCAAATTCAACGCAACACAGTTGGGCGCTTTTCAAGTGAGCAACTGCCAAAACCTCCGATGAAGGCAGCATCACTACAGTGAAGACTAAGTAAGTAAAGTGAAGGAAACCTTCAGGAACGATAAGGTTCACAGAAAAAAAACGAAAAGGTTCGGTTCTAGTACATGTTGTTAGGTGTGTCCAAACCCTCAGGAACGATAAGGTTCATTGAAAAAACGATAACGTTGAGAAGATTTCGCAGTCACTACAGCACATAAGAGGTCTTGCATGTCCCATCATGTCCCTCAAATCTCTTCACAATGCAACGATAGCGTCAAACATCGGAGATCGATTCTGAGTGATTTGAGAGAGTTTCGTCCACCAATCCTTGAGCCCTGACACCCAATCAATTCCGAGCGACCCGGATCCATAACGCGTCAGGTGTTGGAGTCCGAAAACGAGAAAGAAGCTTCAACGGTGTTGATCTCAGCATCCTGAAGGGATGAGAAACGTCAGGTGGTTTTCACCACATGAAGCCATGCAGCGCATGCGAAACGACGAGTCGTCGGACGCCTTCTGAGATTCACTGACGGCAAGTCTATAATATTGTATATACACTGCATACGCTGCCCAGAGTGACGTATATGCAATCGACGCGACACGATATGAGAGATATTTTAGTATTTACTTCAAACTGCGTGGCTGTGCTTGCTTGCTTGCTGCCTTGCCTTGCCTTGCCTTGCCTTGCCTTGCCTTGCCTTGCCTTGCCTTGGCTTGCTTGCCTTGCCTTGCCTTGCCTTGCCTTGCCTTGCCTTGCCTTGCCTTGCCTGGCCTGGCCTTGCTTGCTTGCTTGCCTTGCTGGCTTGGCTTGCCTTGGCTTGGCTTTGCTTGGCTTGGCTTTGCTTTGCTTGCTTGAATCACATGCAGAGCCAACCGCGTTGTCCAAACCAATTTAACTTCATTCTGTATAGCAGGGTTAGACAGATCATCGAACTCTAGTATTTTCATTGATCCAAGATTTCGCACTTGACTCAAGGATTGGCCACCAAAAGCAACCGGTGAGCCGACCGGGATGAAAAAGCAGCATTCGCATTCGCACATAGGCGCGGTGGCACTGTCCTATCACTGCGGGTGGCGGCTTGAACTTGGGATGATTGAAATCAGAAACTGTGGGAAAAACACCATCAAACACCGATGTGAGTACGAGCCAAACCTTTTGGCTCTTGATTTCTCTATTCTTGGGGGTATTTTTTGTATGGATGGCAAGTCCCACGAATTCTCTTAAAACCGACATATTGGTGGAACCCTGGCACATTGACCTAGCATTGACCTGTCACCGGTCATGGCACATTTCGGGTCATGGCATTGTCAGTAGCCCAGTACTTCACGGCAATTCGGATGACATGGTTTGTTGTGGCTCTTTATGAGAATCCGGGCTGGACCCCTTGTTCATTTTTACTTAGTAAAAAAAAAAAAATATATATACACATCAAACACGCATATATATATATATATATACATAGTCTACCATGTATGTGTTTGGTGCACCAAATCTATCAATTTATAAATCCCATGCTTTCGCTGTTCTTGACTATGTTGTTGGTCCACCTCTCTCTCTCTCTCTCATACTCAACACATCAATAAACATAACATTGATCATGAACCATAGTAGCGATGCACTTGTTACTAGTAGCTTTGGAGAAGAAATCGAACCCGAACCACATCACATGTCGGTACGGAGCTGCATTTAAACTTGCGACCGATGGTTCACTGGCGCTGGACTAGAGAATCTGATTGGTAAACCCATGGTTTTTTTCGTGTGTGTGTTTTGGAAGTAGAGCAGGATTTCTTTGATCTGCAAAGAACAGAGTCACCCGAAGATGGAAGGGTATGACCAAGATCTGTGGATTCGGATGTCCAAATGCTAGGATACCCACCTACTGTTTTCACCTAAACGGAACTGACAACTTCAAGGAACTCTGGGTGACCCACCGTGAGCTGAGTATCACCATTTTGGAGTGCCAAACAGATATAGAATGATATAGAACAAGTTGCATTTCTAGGCATTTTATTGGGGCCTAGCTGTGGATGCCAATTCGTGGTAAGGTGTGCCTCACAACCTCCCGGCAATGCTTGCATTGGCTACTGCCTCTTGAGAAAAGAGATGAACAAAGGTTTTCTGAAAGGATCAGGCAGACCATTTTGCTTGGGACACATCCTGATGGATTAAGGTGGATGGTCAGGTGCCGATGCTCGGCATTAGAAGATGGCTACTTGTCGAGTCCAAGCTTACTGAATATGATCAGCACAGTTTGTAGGTAAAGGTTTCTCTGCACTCCAGCATAGAACATCGCAGTATCTAGAACCTGAAAATGGGCTTGAAACACAATTCTTCTACAAACCTGATTTCTATGGATTGCTTTCTCGCTCGGTTCGGGATCCCCCCTGTCCAGGGTGTCCGAACCGGCAGCAATTCGGCTTGTCGGTGGAGAAGCTGCATGCTTTGGGGAATTCTGCGATCGACGAGTTTCTTGGCGATAAGCCCTGCCCTGATCCCCTGATCTTTGTTTCGATTCCTGCCTTTTGCTTTTTCGACATGCGGTGGGCCACAGCAACAGGGCAACAGAGCTAATCCCCCTGAACAGAACAATTATCTACTCTTGATTGGGAGGAGGTTAGGTTGGGGTGATTGGGGCTCGAAACTGTTTCTCCAACTACACCTCGCCTCACAAAGAGAATGCGGACCCCTTCTGGTTGCCAGGTGCAGGTCAGGTCTTTTTGCCATACACGACCCACAAAGCTTCGATCATTTCTATGCAGAAAGTCCCCCACAACACGTCCCTCCAATCCAAACGACGCTTCGGTGTCTTGCGACGCTTCGGACGAATCGCCGTGTCACCGAACTCGGTGTCCGGTGACCCTTCAGGACACCGGACCCAACCGATGGGATCGAGTCACGCTTTCGGTCCCGCTGAGCTGTTGGGCGCATGGTGCTGACTCCAAACTGGGCAGTGAATGTGCAGAGGAAGCTTTTTGTTGAGTCTCGACATGCCGACCTTGCTCTCAGATGTACCAGAGAAATACTGTCTAGATAGCACTTGCAATAGATTACAGCTGATTCAGATTGCTATATATTAGTATAGGAAGACACCAAACCATTGGGGTCTTGCACTTTGGCAGTTTAGTAGCTGGACTAAGACTCAGGTGGTGGCCAATGTTAGCTAATCATGTATCAGACTCAATGTAGGATCTGGAACGAATTTCCGACTTTGATCAGTCAGTCGCCAACCAATTGGTTGGTATTGGGGCGTGTCTCCGACTCCCTCCTCTTCTTCGACACGCCCACCCAAAATCCGTGCCAGACGCGTGCAAGGATCAAGAAGGATGAGCAGAACCCTAACAGGTATTCTAGGTTGAAGAAGATGAATCCAACAAAGCAGATCAAGACAGAGCTGCGTACGCAGCTGTCGAACATCTCCGACATCTTCGTGGAAAGCCACGTGGAGGACCGCGGAAGGAAAGCGTACCAAGACACTTGTTCGTTTTATGGCGAAGTCTGAGGTTGTTTGGGAACTGACCTCTGCCACAGGGCTCCAGGCTGGAGGTACCTTGAACAACTGTTGTCGCATCTTTTGGAAGAAAACAAACCACTGGAAGTCATCTCCAAGATCGCTCAGGCCAGGGCGTATGGAAGACATGTATATATGTACAGTTATACAGTCATACATAATATTTATATATGTGTATATGTACATATGCACGGGTACCAACTCGGACCCTATTGTATACTTGATTTGCTGGGCAGAATGCTCAGCAAATGCTTTGATAAGCTGAAGATGCTGCGACGGCATTGCGCACTTACCTTAGACAATACCTTCTCCAATAATAAGAACAGCCTGATGCTGACACCTGGCCTTGGAATTAGGTTGATCTCCAAACTTCTCTATATAATGCAAAAAGGTTCTTCCACATCAAACAGAATCATGCATCCAAGGAAACTCTGAACAAGAATGGTGATCTTTGAAGTGTTCCAATCAGTGAGCATACAATTCAGCATCAAAGGCCATACGGATGTCTCATGAAAGTTGGGAGTCGCCAGATGATGTTGTTTACAAGTATAAGTACAGCTTGTTTTTGCAGAGTTGTCAGTTTGAATGTGGCAAAATTGATAAGAGTGCTCACAAATATCATGAACCTGCTGACTGGAATCAGTGGCTGCATGAAACAGTTCAATGCCCTGACGGGCATGCATGCCCCCCATCATATTGGAATTGGTCGGAGACTCCTTTGGTCAATACAAGACTTTGAACATGCAAAAGTCAAGCTGGACTCTCAGGATGACGTGATGCTTGGAGTGTATCAATCCCAGCATTTGAGCAATCGCTGGAACCGCGAAATTGTTGGGAACGATTTACCAACTTCAAGAGCCCTCACAAATTTTCCAGCAATTCCACTGGCAAGTTTGAGCATGAAAGGCTGATGCTGGCCACAGGGTCGGCCTGTCTTGGGTCTTCCTCACTCCTTCGAAGCGAAAAAGGGTCACCACCATGAGCTTTCCACCTGGTGGGCGCTTCCTCCTTGATAATCTTGGGCGACATAGTAGTAGGTTACCAATTTAGTTGCTTTACGTGTGACCATGTGTTTGACATGCGCCTAAGTTATTCCCTTCTTGGCAAATGAAGGAGAAACAAGAACAAAAGAAGAGGCAGGAGGAGAAGAAGAAGAGGCTGCTGAAGGATACAAATTCATATCGTGCACCGAAAACACAAGACCCGGCAAAAACAGATGATGAAGATCCACCCACTTGGCGACATCAGCTCGCTGACTTCGTGGACTGGTGGCCCTTCCAGGCGAGCAAAACCGGAACAGCTTGGGGAGGGGAGCGGCCGGGGTCAGTTTGGTGAGGATTGATCAGACGGGTCAGAAAGACACTGCAGACTGTTGGTTTGTTTGTAGATATTTTTGCTGGAATGCCACAGTAAAAAGGCACAGTTGCGACGAGAGGTGTTGTTAAACCAAAATCTCGTTCTTGGTGGTCGTTTGGATCGTGCCATTTGCTCTGAAGCCAATGCCATGTAGAAACAGACAGGCAATTGTCGATGGTCAGTGCTCATGTGAACAAAGCCAGGGCAGTGCCATCGCGTCCTTTTCCGACGCGACAGACCAAGGGCCTAGGGGCTGGATACCATCGTTTTACTGTCACCTGGAGTGGATTCCATGTCAGACTTGTGCTCAGTATGCAGTACTAGTTACTATATGCTGCTTTGGAAAGAGATGTACCAGTATGCGCCAGGTTTGGTGCATGTTTGTAATCGTGGCCAATGCATTACATATCTTCATCCAAGCGGACGCGAAGATGGTGTGCCTTGGCTACACCAAAAGAACGCGCCATTTCTTTTCCTTTTCAGATCCTGTTTTGGAAAGTCAATGATGGACTTTCCAAAGCAGGATCAGTCAATGCATCATTTGCTGGTTGAGATACTGAGACAAACATCCGTTGCCCACATAACAATAGGTTGAAGGATTCTCAGGATCCTGCGGCCCATGAGTGCAACAAGACCGCGGGGCTTCCTGAGGAACGCTTACAAAACGGCGCTGGAGGGTGGCACGCCGATGGAGGACGTGCATTACGTGGACGTGTTGTTTGCGCTCTGGCCACTTGGGCAGAATCCGTGCCTTTAGATGTACTCCTTGAAACAGAAGTCTTTCCTTTAAGCAAACTTTCTAACGTGTTTGTTTTGTGGCAGACAGTGGTTGGTAGGCTTTTGGGTAGGCTTTTTCGAACAGCTATCATGTTGCGTGTCGTTCGTCTCTTGTTTCGATTCACCCAGCGGATGGGAAGGCTGCCTTCTGCAGCTGTTTCTTTCAGATGTTCCGGTAGCATACGAATTCCAAATGCTCGAATTCCAAAGAGTCGGCTGCTTGGTACTGTTTGGCAAATATGCAGATGATACGGTTGGGTGTTCTACAAAGGTGCGAGGTCTGAATGAACTCTTGAAACACATGGAGGATTGTTCTCAATACTGCGGACCAAAGATTAATAGAGCCAAATGTCATCCCCCGAATATGCAGCGGAATACTGGATTTTGTTTTCGAGATCACTTGGCCCCCCTCACTATAACTCATGACACTGCATATTTGGGCAACGATCTCAACCATGCAGGAAGACGTCAGCAGAGGAGTCTCACTACAACACATCAGACCAAAAGAACCTGTCACCAGCTGTCCCTTTGTGGAAAATCCTAGATGGACATACTTTTCCGTGACTTCTAATTTAAGACGTCGCCATTGAAGGTAAACTCATCTACAGATCCTTGCACTCTCCACTGGCTACGGATGATCCAAATACCACGGGATCGGTGAGCTCTCGATCCGCTCGCTGACCGGTGTGGCCTTCCGGACCGTTCACCGTTGAACTGGATGAGAGGCGAGTACGATTGGAGCACATACACCTGTGGCCGCTACGAACCACATAAGACATAAGGCCCATAGAAATCGAACAACGCCGAGCTGGGTGTCCTCGCCAACAGTGGCTTTTTAAATCACATGAGGCTATTCACAGTGTGACACACCATAGGGATGATGATTGCGACCCCACCAAACTCACGAAATATGCCGAAATAAGCACAAAATCGATCCAACCACAGCCACAGCTACTGCTCAGCGATCCAACCCAGACGTGTTTATCTACAGCCACTCCCTGGACTTTTCGAGTTGTTGCTGCAGCCAGCGCTCCAAAGCTCCACTTCTTCGCACGTCGTTGTCTGTTCGTGGGTTCATCTGAGGTTCGTCGTGGAGCTGGCCATGCGGATCCTGCCAGATGGGCTCTTCTACTTCTTTTGGGAATCGGAGGTGGGGGTCTGAGAAGGACTCATCACCAGAACAGTTGGACGGCAAAGCCAGGAGAAAGACATGGGATGGTTGGATGCGAAGTCATGGGAGTGGTTGCGGTATTTTGTTTTTGTCCTCCAGGTGCTGTGGATTGACAGAATATCACCGGCGACGGCAAGAGAAGACTGTTTGTCCTTCAGACATACCAATATGGAATCGCATGGCCCTTCTTTCAAGTTTACAACTCTTCCTTCAGGCATGAGTGCACAGTGGTCGACTTGGACGGTTCGTTTCAGCTGGGGTCTGGTGTTTGTCGGTGCCTTTTCTTAATACCGGGCCTTCTGAAGGGATTGCAGAGGGTTGACCAGGATGTGCACCGCAAAGAAGTGGGAACTCCTTAGTACCCGCAACTAGGAGGGAACAGGCGAAATCACCCGCCAAGGACGACGTCACAGTATCTCTTCCCAGAGTCTCCAGAGTTCCGCGTTCCGGCTGACACCCCTGACCTTGACAGACACGCCGGTATCGCCCAGATCTGCCGTTCCGTCCCACGTCACTTCCGTCACTTATATCCCCTCCGTGAAGAGAGAGAGAGAGAGAGAGAATCCTAGAAGCTCGGACCGGCGGAGCGGCAACACTGAGGACCAACACTGGAACATTTTTGATACCGTTGTGACCGCGGAGGCCGTTGTTGGACTCTTGCTGAGACTCACCTTCCCCTGGGCTTCGCACCTGGGCCGAAGGTCGAACATGGCCACCATGGGTCCTTGCCGGTTTGGTGGGTATGGGTGCGATGCACTGTAGAACACAGGGTGCGGTTCTACAGAGTTGTAAAGTGTTTTTGTTTTCCAACACTTTGGCTGGTTTTATAGAAACCTGCAACTAAGAGGATGCCAGCTAATCAGCTAATCCTCCTGAATCCTCCTGACTTTCTTGAGGTTGTGTGAGTGAGGCGGGAGAAATCCAGGATTCATCTAGAGTATTCCACAACAGATACAAGGCTTTATTGCTTTGACACAGCACAAACAGCAACAAGAGGTCTTTCAGACCCGTCCCTTTGCTTGGCTTGCAATAAAGGTAGTGGTAGCACCTTTTTGTATTCATAGCAAGTCTTCCTCTAGCAGACTCCAGCATTGATGCCGTCCTTGACAAATTCTGCAAATCAATTCAATGACTACACGTGCTTTGCTGATATAGCCATGAGGCTTCAGTGGTTGAAGTCACTGGTCTTCAGCCTCAAAAGAAGACTCGACAGACGGGATGACTAGACGGCTCACGACGGCCTTGACAGACCGAGGGAAACTGGAACGGTGAACATGGCAGACGTGACGACTACATCCAAAATAGTTGTCTTTTTCCTAGGCAGGGCTGGCTTTCGTTAATATGGGACATGCAACTGATTTGTTTATCATTGTCATTGTATATCACTTGCAGCGGGCTATTCTCTTTGCTATGGTGGCTTTCCCTTTCCGGCCTTAGATTGCAAGCATATTTCTTTCAAGAGCCCCTACCAAAGAAAGATCAACTATCTCCTTGACACCATAGCAACGGTGTTCAAGATCATCTACTTCATTGAATGCTCGAAGAGAACTTGCTCTCAAAAGAGACCAACTGTTCTTTGCACATACTGACACAACGTAGGCGTAGGTTTAGAATTAATCTCAATAAATCCTTTATCAGCAGAACAACTGCACATACAAGCAAAATTAAACGAAGACAATATATGTATGTATATATATACACATACACACATACTTAGACCATTCTAGAAGACATGTTTCGGTTTCTTGTTTTGAAAACACCATTTCAAGAGGGACCACCTTTCGAAGAAACAGTTCAGTTTGTTCATCCTTCACAACCGTCCTTCACCAGTCATGCATTCCATAGACATCAGTTTGCTGGTGTTCAGCTGGAAGACACAAAGGTTTGCCATTATTGTTGCTGTTTTCTGCTATTGCCACTGAGGGGTGCTCGTATCCTGGGTGCCTTGATTGATCCGGCATTGGGGTGGCAGGGTCGCTCGTAGGGTTGCAGGCCGCGCAGGCCGCGAAGGCCACGCAGATTCTTGACACGGGAGTGAAAGCACAACTTGAGATCCGATAACTCTTGGAGAGGTTGACTAATGACCCGTGCTGAGCAGATAGGGAAATGGGTTTCAGCTGCTCTAAGGTTTTTTTTCGCATGGACCTTCAAGCAAGGGCCTTCAGAGGGATCTTCCACCTCCCCAGCCATGGGGGGCCTTACCAGCCATTCTTTTGTCAGTGAACTAAGTCTTTTTGCGTTTGAGCTTGTGTCTGGTATGTGTTCTGGCCCTTGAACAACATGATATCCGATGATCTGCATTGTGGGGTTCTTTGTTTACAGCATTAGTTGGAAATGGAACGTCTCCCCCAACCTGGCTTCCGTCTTGAGATTGTTCCTTTCTTTCCACAGGAGTTTGTGTTTGGTGTGAATGCTGTGCTTTTCAATTTGTCAAATCAGCCGACCGTATTTCCTTTGCCCAAGCTTCAGACAAAGCGAAATCCATTCACGGAAATCCATGAGAAACACCGAGTGCGTACGGCGCGCGTACGCGCGCCTCTAGAACGACGCGTAACCGCGTAACCGCGTACCGTGGTTGAGGCGTCTTCCGAATCTTTCGCCTCGTGAAGCATATGAATTGGAGCAAGGACGGGGAGCATATGAAGGAGTCATGTGGCACGGTACGAGTCAGGTGTTGAACGGCCAGGTGTGGCCGTACGTCCCTGAATCGCAGGGTTTTTTTGGTGCCACAGTGAAGGAAACTGACTCAAATCTCAGAAGGGCTTGGACAGATCTTGCATCGTTACTGTTTTTTCTAGTGGGAGCATTGTGCAACCCCATGCAAACGACTTTGGTACTGTTGTTGAGCGTCGCCAGACTGGAACGAACATTTCACCCATCAATTGGCAGCATGCATGCCATTTTCTCCACATTTTTTTGAATTCTATTCAGGTCGCTTCGCGACAACAACCCCCCCAACAGTGGCTCTTCGAGAGGGGTGTAAAAGAAGTATCTAAACCCAAACTCTATTTTTGGACCCTTTTGATACATGGTTATCATCATTGTTTAGTTATTTCTTGCCCTGCATTGTAGAACACAGTCCTTTGCGCACCATTGCGGTGCGACTCGGCCCTTTTGGAATGTACATGGTGTTGTACTGGGGCCTCGAACCAATGGAGTGATTAAGTCCAATAAACGTTCTCAATGTGTATGATTGAGACAAGACTTAGAGATGAACGCAGCATGCGGTGGATGAACAGTCATTTCATATCTATCGTCTGGAAAATCGCTCTGATTGAAATTGCTCAGTCATGTTTTACTTGCAACTTGCTGCAAGCATCCTTGGATATATGTTCCCACCCCCTTGAGAATTTTACATGGGGTCCAAATTATAGCCTTTACAGCCAACAATGCTTGCAGATGAATATAATTTGGGCAGCCTGAAAACTGAAAAGTGTACAATTTTAAGGGGTCGAAAGACAGAGTGAATATATATATATATAATACACAATAAGCTTTACAATGTGCATGATCCACCCAAAACATAGAGATGAACGCAGCATGACGTGGATGGACTTTTTACACAAGATTTTTCGATCCCCTGAAATGGTACATTTTCAGGGGGTCGAACTTACATTAGCAGGCATTTTGTAAAATAAACTATACACTTGCAAGGAGCTGACGCATATGCTACCGTAATAAACGATGCAATTGCAACCAGCGGATGGAAATGATGCAACCACCAAACATGTATTAAAACATAGACAGTTGAAAGGAATCATTTCTTTCCTTCTCACGAGCCTGGTCATGCAAATGCAAATGATACGGTCATGAGAAATATAGTCAGACGTAGATTAGATGATATGTGAAAACCATGTGTTTTTCAATGTTCTCTCCCACTCCAGTCCTCTCCCAGGCACATCTCACAATGCAGAATATGCATTTTTGTTCCCAAGCAAAAAAGCCAACCCTAGCTAAAACTATATAGCATTGAATGCGTTCTCAAAAACTATCACCACACTCACCGCTGCAGGGGTTGAGGAAGCTACGGAAGACGCCTGAGACCTAGAGAATCGCATGCACACCTCAAGAAGGAGAGAGGGAGAGAGATCAGCTACAACAGATTTTCCATTGTTTGCGAAGCTGACGTTTGGGCCCTTTGGAAGTATGGGCCAACAGTTCAATGTTTTCAGAAAATACGGAGGGACTGTGGTTTTCGCAGGCCCCAAAAAAGGACCACCGTGAATTGGAAGAACCCTCAAGGATCCTGGACATTGAGACAAGTCTGTTTTGAAACACGCAGGTGGTCATGAAACACCCAGTAGGTGGTCATGAAACACCCAGCATTTGGTCATGTGTGGACACCAAAAATGGACTTTTCTCGCTTTGTCTCAAGCTTCGTCCAAGGGATTTTCCCCCAAATGTAGTGAACATCGACGGTTGGCCTTTCTTTCATGAACCATCGAAAGGACCTTCAAAGGGCTGACATCGGCAGTCAAGTCGGACCAGCTCTTCTAGCATTGAAGACTTGAAAGAGGAGAAAAACAACTTGTTGCTGGCACCGTTCATGCTGCTTATGAGACAAGAACATTCAAGGTTCATGTTGGAGTTGCCAGAACCTGGCCCGTCGCTTTATGATTCAACAATAGAACCTGATGACCCTGATGAGTTCACTGCACGGCTGGGGGGACCTCTTTGGGGCTATGGCAAGGTTAATGGCCTTGGTCGGCTCCTTGATGGACCTCATTTGGGCCTTCTTGGTCGTTCCTTGGCGGTGTGGAAGACTGTGGAAGACGCCAGACCATTGCTGCCCCGCGCAAGCCGCGTGGCTTGTAAGGTCGTCCTATGTCTGGTCACTTACAGCGTCTTCCTCTCCAGTGCGACGGTGGGCCCGGTAGAAAGAGACTTCCGGTGGGGTGGGGATGACATGTGAGTGCACGGATGACACAGTGACGTGATAGGCTTCGATCAGATCTGGGATTGAGAATCCCGGCATCATCAGGCATTTGTGATGATCACCTCCATTTCATCAAGTACTGCTGAAGAGCAGCTTGTAGTCCATGCAGTCCATTTAATAATTTATATATGTCCCTTAGCATTCCCTCCTCTCTCTCTCTCTGCCAGATTTTGGCGGAGCCACTGCCCCTTTGAAATGCACATGTTCGCTGAGTTTCAACCTTCGGAGCATTCCCTGCATTCTAACGCGCCAGAGAGATTTGACGGCTCAGAAACACAGAGAACACTCGCCGCGGCTTTGGGAGCGATTTCGATCTGCGGGAGAGGTGGGCTACTTCGAATCCGAATCCTTCAACAACACTCTCTACGACGAGCTCAACGGCCCCCTGGAGACGAAGCTTCTCAGTGGATGTGTCCCCTCTATCGATGGGACCTTTAAGGGTTTTTGATAGGTTGTAAGGATCGTGGGCAAAGGTTCAAGCTGACCCGGAAGTGTGGGATGACCACCTGCATGTGGCTTGCCATCGGCTGACGCGTCCAAACAAAAGTCCAAGCAATCGTATATTTGCAAGTCTTTTGAGCAACTGCCCCTTATACAAGCGAAATGGAGCATTTCGAGATCAGTTGAATTCAGGTCCAACCCTGCCAGGCTCCTAAGACCTGTGCAACAACAAAGCCAATTTTGGAGGTGATGTGATTTTGCTACTTCGGTTGATAATGTTTGTCTACATCAGCTGGTGATGATCTTGTCCCACCCCAGTTGAAGCACACATGGATGCGAAATCGGCCCATAGACCTGGCCTTTTGGGACAGTGCTCTGCTTGAGGCACCCAAAAGGAGGAGGTGGATAAAGTCTCATGGCTGCAGTGCTTTTCTGGAAGCCAAATCCGGTTTGCCGGGAGAAAGACACACGGGTTTGCAATTTCTGGATTTCGGCCGCATGAAAACGCCGCTTGAATGAGGCCGCTTTTTTATTCTCCATTCCAAGGGTTTTTTGAAGAGGCCTACACACCTCGCGGCTGCAGGTGCTCCGTGAATTTGGAACTGTCCCAACGACGATGTTATCACTTTGGTCTGCGATCAGTGGCGGCAATGACCCTTTAGATGCAACTTATGCGTGTGCGTTGCAGTAGCGTTAGTCGGTCTTTCTTCAGGCACGCAAAGGAGTGACAATGCTTTATCATGCTCAAGGTTTGGAAATAGACTCTAACCAGCATCTGCACAAGAGAGAAGACACTTGCACTCTCTTTGAGCAAGGAACTACAGTATATCTTATGTCCTGTTGATCTTGTAAAGCATGATACGATTGGGACAAATGATTTGGATCGTGTAATTATATATACAAACATCATAATGTAAAATAGACCAATATATATATATATACACACATATTTATATATATATATATACACACACACTATACACTGCGTGAAACAAAAAACATCGTACTACTTGACTGAATTTGACCAGAGTCATTCCTGCCGGCGTCTGAAGGATTGGATGCAATATGCGGAGACTCTTCAAATAATGGTTGCCTGGCTGCATTCATCAACTTTCTCAGCAAAAGGCTACAAGTCAATGACAAGGGGCACCGGCCATTGACTTTGGTGTACCTGCACACAAGTGGCATGGAATCATCATGATCAATTCCTCTGGTTTGCGTCCTCTAGTCTTTGGCAACACACAGTGTCAGGGAAAGATGTCTCCAGAACACGACTTGGCTCCCCAAGCACCAACCTGGATTTAGGATACTTATTCCTTTGGCTCCAAACTGCACTTACTCTGAAGATAGGTCTCTGTATGATTCCAGCACTTGCGATCGATACTACTTGTCCAGTTGCACAAACCCAAGCCGTGCGCAGGACGAGCACAACATTTTCTTTGGCACCTTCATCGTCTTCACAGCCTTCTGCGTGATCGGCCTCTTCAATGTGGTCACAGGCAAACCTGGGAATATTCAAGAAGCTACGAACGGGGCTCCTGACATCGCTACCAGTAACAAGGACGCTACTAGGGGCTCCTGGCATCGCTACTAGGAGCAAGGATGCTACGAACGGGGCTCCTGACCGTCTTGGTCTCGTGGTTGCCGGACCTTTTCTTCACGTGGCCCAGCGACCACGATGGGTCCCTGGGAGGTCCACCGAGGAGGTCATACACGTCACATCTTTGTTGTTTTGGTTCTTTCGCGCCCTGTAAGCAAATGTCGAAAAGCACCAAGCCTTTATATAGTAGTGAGTAGTGAAACATTAGCAGTTCCTTCGACTGCCAGACAACATTGAAAAGATTTGAAGAGTTTGCTGTCGCCGCTGGAGCCCCACTGGCGCCAGCTACGGTAGTTTCAAGCCACAATCTTTTCCATAGGCTGCAAGACAGTCCAGTTTGAAACAAATGGTTCTGACGCGAAATGAGGAGCCCCCCAAATAGTCCGACGGACGTGGAACCTAAGCCATGTATCTACTCTGAGTTCTGTGTGTGGATCTAGACCCTTCTAGTTTTGACTTCACAGGTCTTGTCACACCAGGTGTCTTCCACCGAGTGGGATACTCATAGGTCTCTGCCTTACAGTAGATAGAGGCAATGGTAATTCCTGAAAGAATCCCTCGCACAACCAAGTTGCCGAACATAGACCCTGCACGATGAACCCAGTCTCAAGGGGTTTCTTCCAGGTGCTGAACGCCGTCCTGTGTTGATTACCACCGTTCTGCTTTTTTGGTGTTTTTTTGACCACTTTTCAAGCCCCTTGCACCCCAGGTATCTTCGTGGATAGTGCCGTTGAGGCCTCGAGGTCCTTCCGGAGTAGTGTGGAGGTGATCGCGTGCCTTGGACGGCGATGAAGGGTGAAAATGGCGATGAAGATACGATACCGGTATTACTACTCACAGTAACAGATGAAGATACGCAGCCATTAGGTGTTCATGTCTGACCACATTGAAATACTGTCTTGGGTGCGGATGATGGCTAGTTTGGGAAATATGAGTCGTGGGACATTTGGGCAATTGGTGTGGTCTCTTCTGATCCTGCTGATAGATAGGAGATTTGGTATCACCTAAAGAGTCTGTTCAATCCCTTTTCTCATCGATACCCTCCCCCTCCAAAAGACCTGGGAAGGTTCTGCCTGGAGCCAGGCTGGACGTTTCATGAGGGATACATGAACCACGCAATTCCGAGAAACTACAGCAGAAGAAAACTAGAAGCTTGAACATGAGGACATACTTTATGCGATGGAAACCAGACATGAGGATCATGAGACGGAAGATGAGAGGGTATGTGCAAGAAATGACAGAAGAATCAACAGTGTCAACATGCCAGAATATGCAGTAGTAAACCATCTTCCCGCAAAGACCCCTGGGTTGGGGAATTGCTTCAAAGACTAACTAGGACTCAAACCAACTCCTAAAAGCCCCGTGCGACCGTTAACAGCTTGGAACAGCTTCGACAGGGCACATGGCGGATCAAGTCGGATCACTTGTTCGCTTCAGAGGCATTCATTCCCCTTTGCCTAAGTGGCCACGGTCACGCTCACAGGGTGTAGGAAGATCAGTAGAGAACAGTCCTCCAACCGCAGAGAGAGGCCCGCTTTGCAATTCTGAGGGAACACAAAGACCAAGAGAAACGGGAGAAGAGGGAGGAGGCATACTTGCGGATCCTTGGGCGTGCACTTGATTCACCCTGGCTGTAGAGATATGAACTGCCTGCGCTGCAAAGGGGATGGGAAGAGGCTTCTCCTCTCAGGAAATTGAACGCCAGTGTCAATCAAAGCTTTGGAGGCAAACACTGCAATGACTATGTGTTCAGGATGTCTCAGGTGGTGATTCAGACATCAATCCACCTGTTTCACACTTGCGTTTGCTCGTCTCTTATTGATACACCCTGCCTCTTAATAAGTGCTTGTGAGGTACTTGAGACGGAATGGTCTTCCTCCAACCTCCAAGATATGTGGAAGATGGCTGTTGGAAGATATATATATATATTATAGCTTTATATAGGAAGATACTTGGTCAACTCTCAATTGCTGTTGTCTGGAGAGATTGAACTCTTGGTGGGAAGGTCATAACCTTCAGGTGTTGCACCTCTTTGTGTGCACCAAGGAAGTTATTGTCAACTTCTGCCGGGAACCATCTCACCTATCGAGAGCCGGGATTCTCAGAGATGCGGAGATGCGGAGATGCCGTTCAGCGAGAGAGGGCTCTGGTGGCCTCAGCATCGTCATCGCATCATATGTGGGTAATTCACCCGCATGACGATGAAATCGTCCCCGTCGCGACTCAGCAGACATCGTCATCACAGAGCCACCTTTTCACACTCCCAGACACTGCATGGGACTGCCATATATGCCGATCAGTTGGGGTGGTAGGCATATATGGCATACATGGAGTGTCTGGACTTCTTTGCATTTCAACTCTGAACACAGGACACGCCAAGTGACCGCTCACCACGTCACAAGTGACCACACATCGCATCACCAGTGCACGACACAGCAGGCCACGTCGCTGCTCACCACCAGCACCAAGTCGGCCTCCGTACTCCCATGCATCGGAGAACTGGCTTCTCCAAGTGGCAAGTCTCACGATTCCATGTGGGTAGTGATCACTCTTCTAGTACTTTGTGAACGTTTCTTGGACAGAAATTCCTACATCATGTGTTCAGTCCACGCTGTTGAGGCTGGAGGAACACCTCGACCTCGATGAAACAGAGGACGGCAGTGGGGCGGTGGAGTTGAACATGCAAAAGACACCTTTGAGTGGCTTCACCGATATTCTTTGGGCTTCAGGTGTTTGCAAAGCTGATGAAAAGATTGCTTTGCAAACACCTCTTGTTCAGCTTCATCTCTCCAATCTCTTTCCAAAGCGACGCTTTCGATTGCCAGGCCTTCTGGGAAAGCCACATGGAGCTTTCGGCACCAAAGGTGCGTGTCCGATCTTGGGGATTGGCCGGATGGGTCGGTGTGTCGCGTCTGAAGCACCCCCAATCCATCCCAATCCCGCATTTCGACAAACCTGATGTGGCTTTGATTTGAGACAAACCTCCAGAACCCGATCGTGCCGACAATTTCAGTCATATCATTAGGCACTGGGTGGAATTGTGTGACCTCTGTTTCTGATTTGTCATGATCCATTCACATTCACCAACGCCGATGAGAAGCGGTAAGAGGAGATGATGAAACCCGGGAAATGGCCCTGGACGCATCCGTTTTCACCTCACCTCTCTCAGTCCGTTTCAGCTATGCGAGTCTCGTAGAAAGGCATGTTGAGGAGAAACCCAGGTCTCCCGCTGTTGCAGCACTTGACGGTCGTGGAAGGGTCCACAGTGTCGGTGCCACCGATGCGACTCCCGTTCGATCGAACGCTTCGGAGCGGGACTGCTCTCCTCAGCTTTGATTGGTTCAATGACACCAAAGCAATCTGATCTAGGCATGCTTTTGCTTTCTTAAGGGATGGCTTTCTTCGTTTGACCCGTTGCTTTGCTTTCTCGTCCTTCTTACTACTCTCCTGTCGGTTCTTCTTCTCTGTGCTTCACTAACAAAAGCTAGACTCGACTCGCACGAGTAGGAACGGCATGTGATTGACGTTCACAGCTGTTTTTGCATACAAAGGAGGGGACTCTATAGACACTTATATAGAACTCAGGGAAAAAGCTATATAAGGAACTGCAAAGCCAAAAGGAATATGTTGTTTGAGATCTTCATGTACTTGTTTGGAGAATAATTAGTGATCATTCTTCAGCTTTAGGTAGTCCAGAGATCTGGGTGATCGGCCAGGTGAAAGACATCTTTTTGCTCTACCATCGCCTGATCAGATCGGACGAAAGCAAGCCCGTCCTTCCACTGGTGGATGATGAGAACCCGAAGTCCCCGGATGTCTTCAAAATTCCCGTGAAAGAGTTCTTGGCCTTCACCAGGAGACCACGAAAAGACCACAGAATTGCTTTACTTCGGGTGGGATCCCACGGATGGGGGATGCAGTGTGGAGACGTCAAGGTTTGTTATCGGTTGTCATGTTTGTCGTGTTGGACTCGTCAATACACTAGCAAATTCACGACATGGTGGGTTGTCTATTGTAAAGTCTAGCTACCCCAATCCTGTCAGGTGTTTTAAGACCTGCTGCATGGCATCGTCCACTAACTGAAAGCAGTGAGTTGAAATCACTCGGCTGAAAATATACATTACATCAAATTTAGCTGGACCTAGCTGTTTGGGGCAGAGATAAGCTTGAAGTGGTTGCTTCGCGCTCGAAGCGGGAAAGCAATATCATGTCTCAGGAGACAGGACTGAGTAGGTGACCAAGTCGCTTTGTAGGTGGTTTTAAACTTGGCATTGAGAGATTCATTGTTCGTGTTAGAAGGTGGTCACCTCTCAAAGTAATTAACTTATGTTTCAGTTGCCAGTGGAGCAACTGCAACGTGGGGATTCTTCTATCCAAACATGGGGTCGTCGTCTGGCAGCACTGGGGGAACGAAGCAATCGGACCGCTGGGATGAGACAGACGCACTCCGTTGTCTTTGTTGAAATCACAGTGATCGGCACGTGCAGGAAATGTAAAGGTACTGCATCATATGTTGACCTCCTGACTATGATGCACGACAACACAAGGCCGGGCTTTGATGATCTCCTGTTTTTTGCATATCAGTTGAATCGTTGAGTCACCAGTGACACCAAACAAGTTCCTCATACATATGTTTCTGAGTGTACAGTGTACATATCTTGAGGGAGCCAAACAGGAATGGCCGAACTAAGAACAATGCCTACTGGAAAAAAACACGAGTTGACCTGACAGTTTCAGTGTCGTGCCACACGTGTGGAGAATGTATTTGTGTTCCCTGTTGCTTGAATGCTATGCACCCCAAACAGCCACAGAGTTTTGAAAGGTTAAACATAGCTGCTTTCAACACACTGTTCATCACAACATCACTTTGCTGCTTCTCGATACATTACAACGGCTGAAACATTTCGTTCAGAGACAACATTTCGATATGGATCTTTGTTCTCACCCTACATGCCCAAACTTTGCTTTCTCCCTCTCTCTCTTCCCCTCTCTCTCTCTCTCTCGCTCTCAATACATGGCCAGTTTGGTTACTCCATGACATAGCATGTGTATGAAGGAAGAACGGGAGAACACGTCGTAGGGAGAGATGCGCCCAGTACCGAGAGCGAAGTGGAAACAGCTCTGATACACAGAAAGGGCCCCTCCTGATGGCTTGGACCACAGCTCTGAGCTCTTCCGCACTGGGCTGGATTTGTGTCCTACCAAAAAAATGAATATATATATATATAACAACACCACGGATCTGCATTGTGATAACGACATGGGACAGAATTCGGAGACAAGCAGTGGTGAATGAGGATCGGTCTGGCTGTGGAATTCGTTGACATCAGTGATGTATCCCAAGATCAGAATCATTGCATATATGTGCATAGGCAAACGTGTGTGAAGTCGTCACAACTCCTTAGACTTGATTTCTCTCCATACATGCGATGGATAGACATAGACAAGCTTGACATGCCCCAGTGTCAACCCCAACTCGCACTTGTTTTCGTCGCAAAAATACACAACCTTGCGACCTTGTGAGTGATGAAGCTGGAGAGGCTAGAGAAGTTCATCCACAATGAGTTCAAGCAGCTCAAAGAGCGACTTCCTGGTGAGGCGACGACTGGTGCACGGTGTCGTGACTTCTGTGAGGGTGAGAGACTGGACCAAGAGCCTACCAATTCTATGGTACCACTCCGAGGCACTCACATGAAAATTCTCACCTGCCTCCCAAGAGGCTAGTTTCTGCTTCATGGTTGTCCTGTTTTTGAGTCAGACTGTATGTAAGTTCTACTCTGCGATTTGGTCCAGGGTAGGCCCTCCACGTAGGCTTTTCTCAACTAATCAATGCCTGCACGGGCGAGTTCATGGATCGCACCACGTAGTTATATAGATTAGATCCAACGGCTTTCCATGGGTTATCCTCGCTTTTCATGCAACTGATGTCAATCACTCAGCAGCAACGGGGTCAGCACCAAAAAGTCGCGGGTCCTTTGGTGCCAGCTTTTGCACTACACCAGCTCACCACATTCGAGGCCCAAAAGTGAGCGGCTTTGTTAGCCCCCGCGGTGCGGACCGGCAGCTAACGCGCCCTCGCGGGCGCAGCGGGCGTCTTGGTGGGTCTGTTTCTTTGCTTGGGAGTGGGAGCTTCCTTCACGTCTCTCACGTGTTGAAGGTGAGCAAATTTCACACTCACCTCTGGCTGGTGGGACACCATTACCTTTGTCGCAGGCCTGGAAGAGGCCTTCAGGGACCAACAAAGACTGTTTGGAGGTCCTCATTTTGCAATGGAGGCTGCAAACCGCCAGCGTGGCACGCGCCTTTCTTCGCGCCGTCTTGATCTTGCAACCTCCAAGGTCACCAGACCGTCGACCCGCCTTGAGTGCTTCGAAACCGACCCCACTTTGCCCGGTCCCCGCCCCACCCCTTGGTGGAGCCGGGGACCCGACATCGTTGGAAAAAACATGCCAGATTTGGAGGGAAGAACGAAGCAAAGCAAAGCACGAAAGGCAGGCTGAACACACTTCGTTTCGAAAACAGTTGCACGCATGAAACCAGTTGAAGCAGATGCAAACAAAGTGCTTTTCATAGCACTCCTGGCTGGTCCGAAATCGGCCGAACTGTGGCCCTTGCTGCTTGTGGTCTAAGACCACTGGCAGCTTTGTTGTGCGATGAACATCTCAGCTCGGGGAGGTGGTCGCAGGGGTGCCTGGATTTTACACAGTGAAGGTTTGGGAGGATGGCCTTTCTCTTCAAAATTTGCTCACCAATCCTTAGGATCTTTCAAACTTCAGATGTAGTTGGAATTGTTGGCAATGAGCTAAAGATGTCCAAAAAATGCAAGGGCATCGAACGAAGCAGCAAGCTTATTCAAAGAGCTTTCTTTGGATTCTGATTTTGATGGGGATTGCTTGAGCAGTGTTTGCACGTGAGGTGACTCAGGAGGCCCAATCGTTTACATCTTGAGACAGCAGTCGAAGGTGACGACGTCACTTGTGCGCCAAGTCACCACCCCAGAAGAAAAGAATTATCCTTTCTGGGTCCATCCCCTGTTTGAAAGAAATTAAAGAACCCGATAACCCCACATGACTAGATTTCACCAAGCGAAAATCAAGAAAATCCGCCCGCACCGAAGGTGCCGAGGTGTTGTGGAGGTGTCGTGTAAACCGTAAGAATCTTCTGGAGGATTGATCCTAAGCGTTAGCTAGGTGGGCCCCATCTCATGCTCGGGAAATGCTGTGTTTTGCAAGGTTTTTTGAAGATTGATCAAAATGGATATGGTTTTGGACTAAACGTTCGGGATGCCGGTTATGCCGGCCGCGGGGATTGCGTCATCGACGATCGCGGGGACACTGCATTATTGAGATCATGGGTGTGTTCGTCGAGACAGACAGACCGAGACAAACAATTCACATCGTGTGACAGACCGACCGAGACAGACAATTGACATCGTGTGTGTGTTCGTCCGTGTGTCCTGCCCGACTGAGATAGACAGATTGACAGACCGGGACAGACAGACCAAGACTGTGTGTGCGTCTGTTTTTTCTTTACTCTGTGCGGGCGGCATCGACCGCGAAGCGGTGTGAATAATGTTTGCGGATAGAGCGTGGCACAGCGACGTCACAGATGTAATTTCGCCATACTGCGTGCCAATGGAGCAGCAAAGCGCAGTATAGCTCGGTGGAGGAGCTGCGGCGAACTGGCAACATTCATGGACCTCCAATAGCAGCAGACCCCCTACAGAGAAGCGTAACATAAGGGAGGAGCGGCGGCCGGCCCCTCCAGACTGTCTGCGCAGAGCAGCAAACGCAGGGGCGGCAGCGACCGAGCCAGAACAGCATAACGCAAGGGAGGAGCGGCGGCGACCGAACCCGACCCTCCAACAGACCCTCTACAGAGCAGCAAAACGCAACTGAGCCGGTCGCCCCCAACAGCGGACCCTCTACACAGCAGCAACACGCAAGGGTGCTACACACGACCAAGCAGAAATACGCACAATCCATTATTACACAAAATAGTGGCAATATGTGACAATCTCTTGTCCAGTAGCTTCCAAGACCCCTGGTACCACCTGCCTGGACACGGGCTCCTTGTATCCTCAAACGACGCTCGAACAGAGCACGATCATTTTTGGCAGGGCCTAGAGGACTATACAAACAGACAGTAGTGACAGTACTCTTTTTTGTTTAACCAGTGCGGAACCTGCTCTGGGTCGTTTGAAGCAGATTCGGCGCATGATTGGGCAAAAGTGAGCGCGCCTTGACGCTGGCTGATGTGAAACGCTCTGTCAACTTCGCCCTAAAGTTGCAAGAGGAACTTTCAGGAGATGGCTAGCAAGCAGTTTCATGTGGATCTAGTGCTCACTTTGTGTCTCCCGTTCCCTCAAGAAGGTGACAAAGCTGAGACCCGAACGAAAAGTATTGCGGAGATGGAAGATGTGGAATGAACCCATCGCCTTTGCTTGTCTCGTCACGCCCAAACAGTCTGTTGAACATCCATTTGGGAATCTCCGGAGGAATCCGTTTGCATGACTCGTAGCTTCACCTCACAAGACAGACGGGTGTCCGGGAGCAGCCACGCCATGGCGACAGAGGACACCGAGGGATCCTTGCAACCAGGCAGGAACGATCCTTTTGAATGGTTGTGGGATGTTGTAGGTCCAAAACAGAGACCCAACCCGTCGAATATCCATAAAACAACTGGGAAATTTTAAAGAGGCGTTGTTCGTTTCAATATTTGTAGAGTCACCACCAAAGCAGGTTTTTGTGTAAAGTGTAAAGTTCAGTTCGAAGAGAACAACCATCTAGCATCACTTAGCGCAAAAATTGAAATGGTCGAAACCGGTCTGGTCAAGTACCACGTACTGACATGTACTGATGTGTACTGGCTCTCGAGTTCACCAGACTCCCCCCAAAAGGCTCGTTTCGATCTTCGATTCGACGCAGGTCTTGAAGCTGCGCCAGCGCCCTCATGGTCCGACCCAGGTGGGGAGCACACTGCACGTGGTGCACAGACCGATCCTCCGAACCGATCCGATCCTCCGCACCTCCGGTCGCCGGTCGCCAGACCTGCTCGGTCGCCAGTGATTCGCAGGTCTGGACTCGGCGCCAGAGCAAAACGACCGGGCCACGGACCTCGAAGCCGAGAAACCGGAGCGGGCGATGCCGTTCCAAGCGCTGCACGATCAGGTGGAAACACTCCACACTCAGGCGAGCGGGAAAGCGAGAGCACTTGCGCTGGTGCTGTTCATGTGCTGGCGCAAGAGGGATCGGGAGGTGTGCACAGGGTATTTTGCCACAACCAAGGACAGATGTTAATTCAGAAGAGTCTTGAGTCATGACCGAACCTGAACAAATGAAATCATATGAAATGGTTTTGGGTTGTATTCTGTGTCTGTTGACGTCTGTCATGCCAGGGATTTCATTCTTCCCTTCGGACAAGGATGCTGTTCACCCGTTTGCGGCCGATGCAGTTGAAGAAGCTCCTGGAGGATTTGCAACATGCGCACCACCGAGAGCCAGCGCAGGCACTGGTTGGGGGGGGGAGGGCGATGCCCTTGGCCGTCTGGGGATCTCCAGCTCTAGGAGGCTGGGAGTTCCTGGTTGGTAGGGAGGGAATCTCCAAAACTGATCGCAGCTAAAGATCCTTGCCTGCATCAGCCTCCATCCAACCTCACCCATATGGTGGACACATTCTGAGTGAGAGAGAGAGAGAGAGATAGATAGATAAGTGTTTTCAAGGCAAGAGAAAGACAAACAATTCAATACTAGCTGTGATGGTCATATGAAGATAAACAGATCACAGAGGAAAACAGAGTCTAGAGACTACATGTGACTACAGACGAGAAGGAGAAACCGACTTCTACTGCTTGGTTGCTCAATTTCTGACACTTCGACCACGGGTGAAACGCGTGACGACCATTCTCTTTCAATCTCTTTCGTGGTGATTTGTGGGTGTTGATCTTTCCAGTATGCGAACGGAAGCAGCCAAGAAGCTACTAGTAACAAGTGCCACGCTACTAGTAACAGGTGCCTTACTACTAGTAACAAGAAGCTATTAGGAACAAGTGCCTTACTACTAGTAACAATAAGAATTTAATAGCTTCCCAGCATCGGCCCAAAAGGGCCCTACTTCGAGGGACCTGGACCTGCGGACATACGGACCGGACCTCGCCGAGGCCGCCTCGGTTGGTCCTTCCAAAAGCCGAAAAGTCAGAAGGAAAAAGAAGGCTGAGAATGAACCCCTGGAGGCCTGGAGAAAGGGTTTTTGCGCATGAAGGTGGAAGTGAAAGGGCTATGGGCGCCCTGGGCTGCCTGACAAGTCTGAAGATGGGACTCTGTTCATATCTTATCATCCGTATCTTTTTTTTGAGTTAAGGTTTTAACTATTCGATTTATGGAAGTTAGACGCTTCCAGACAGGAACACCACCAGCAAACTCTGAGACTTAAGTATCAATATGCAACAATGCAACAGTGATGGCGCGTGCTACTTTTTCTTACGCCTTTCGTTTTCTTTCCCTGCAACTCTAGCAGGATGGGTGTGCCTTGAAACAAGAAGACCCCCAATTGACCTCCGTGAAGAAGAATCAACTCACCAGGCCTCGTTGCAGCATCTCTCTATCAACAAAGGCCCACTCACATCATGACCGCTGTGCCGGTAGAGGTCACTCAGTCTCATCCTAGCTCTCTGGCCTGTTTTTGAACAATTCAGGCTAGCTTTGGATGGTGCTACTCTTCCGGGGTGGTATGTAGATTGCCCAAACCCTCCCATCGGTCGATTTGGGTCGACCCTGCACGCTCTTCGGCGAGGGCATTTCTTCGTTTTTCGGCTTTGGTGGGACTGTTTGACCAAGAACTGTTTCACAGATTTTGTCCGGTTCGGTCTTTACATGTGTCTTTACCATGCTTGAGGGTAGTCTTGGTTGGTGATCTAGCAATGGACTTTAGCTCTGAAGATCCCCCGGACAAGCAGGGTACGAAGATCGTCACAGAACGCAGGACCATACTGATGGTATGTCGACAGCGTAACACATGGCAAAGAAACTATCAAACACCTTGCATTCGCAGTGCATCCCTTTACAGTGATTTGACAAGCTTTCATCCGTGAGTGCCATGGTGGCATCCGTTTCTTTGTTGACGTCGTTTGTTTTTTATCCGTCATTTTTTCTTGCCGACGATGAGTCGCTGTTGAGTCCCAGTCTGGTGTCCAGACTGACACCTTTGGGATGTGAAGGACAAGTTTCCCATGTGATCCACAGTCAGGGTATAAACCCACTGTCAATTCTGCGCCAGATGGTCCAGGTGAAGGTGGAGTCGGAAAAGGAGGACGATCCGCAGGTGCTGATCTCAGCGAAGTTTTGGAATGAATAGACATGAAGGAATCCAATGTATCAAGGGTCGGCTTAGACGAGTCAACACACGAAACTACACGAGTCTGGACGAGTCTGGACGTTTAGATTGAAATCAGGGGAGCAATGCTTCAAACTGCACGGCCTTCAAACTGCTTTGCTTGCTTTGATG